ATCATGATTAACATAGGCAACTAGTACCTTGAAAACAAAATGGTAACACATAAGGAATTAATCTTAGTCTAAACTGTAATTTGTAAGAGGTAACTAACCCTGTATCTCTGTTTTTCTTGTTTCTTTCTTTTTCTTTTCATGCCTCCCAAGCAGATGTCTGCCACTTCTCAATCCAGAGGTCAGTCTCTTCTTTATGCAGCCTAGAAACGATCACAGAAGAGTCTGTCCTTGCCAATGAGAACCATCACTGCAGCCTTTCCTTCCCTCTGCCCGTTACCCCTTACAGTGATGCTGAGGAAGAATCTGGGTCTGACCATTCCACCGAAGTTCCATCAGAGGGAAGCAGCACACCCAACCAGCCTCAAGAGCCCCCACCCTCCAGAGAACAAGGAACAAATCTGGCTGCAGAAGACCAAAGGCAGGATGTCCCAAGAGCAGCTGACACAAGTTTAGTAACCCCAGAGGATGAGAGGACCAGCGTGGCAGGATGTCCCACAGAAGGAAATGGTTGGACACGGTGCAGTGAGGCTGAAGATGAGGGTGGGTCAGCAGCACATCCCCAAAAAGCCAGGCTGGTAGAGGCAGCAGATCACGGTGCTGGCCAACCTGTAGGAAACTGCCAGAAGCAAAACAACCAAGCAGGTCAGGTATTAACACACATGAAAAGCACCTCTGAATCCAAAGGGCAGAACCCGGGTGCAGCAGCTGTTCCACCCCAGCAAAGCAATGTCATTAACAGCACACAGACAAATTCTCCCCAGAAAGCCCAGGCTGCACAGGCTCTCCCTGTCTCTGTTTCTCAGACGAGCTCTTACATGTTGGCAAGAAGGGCAAAGAATGAAGGACTGAAGACGTCAGACTCCTCAGCCTTAATAAAAATTCCGAGCAGCGTGTCTCCAGCAGCAGAAGTGTACTTTGATGCCACTGTCAATGACCGGATCTGGAGCAAGCTGGACTGCAGCAGCCACCGTGACAGCATGTCCTCCTCGTCCAGCATGTCCTCCAACGACACCGTCATCGACCTCTCTCTGCCCAGCCTGGCTCGCAAAAGCCTCCCGGACCTGGGCATCCGCCAGGACAGCCTGGAGCCCCTGGCCATCAGGAAGGGGATGCGCCCACGCTCCGCCACCACCTGCAGCAACGAGATGCCAATGGTCAGCAAGAGCAAGTCCAACCCCAACCTGAGGAGTGGCCAGCTGCCGGCCGATGAGCTGTGCCCCCGGCCCCTGGCCAGGAGCCCTCAGGACGCCTTCTCGTCCATTCCTAGAAGGCACACCTGGAGCAGGCTCTACATGGAGAGCCTCAGGCAGTCCTCTAACAAATCCAAAGCGCACGACACGGTTGGGAATAACCAGGCAAAGTCCAAAAGCCTCGGGGACCTTACCTCTGACGACATCGTGTGCACTTTTGAGAGCAAGTACCGCAGCATCAGCAGGAGCTTCGTCACCCGCTCCATGCGGGAGCAGCGCCGCTCCTCGGGCCTGCGGCCCCCGGCCAAATCCCGGGACGAGCTGACTGAGCAGCTGAAGAGGCTGACGGCCTTTCAGCAGGAAAACGACATCACCTCCCCCATCAGCCTTGAGCCCAGCGAGTCGGAGGAGGAGGGCGAGAGCGTGGGGCTGCTGCGCCGCTCGTCGTCACGCAGCCAGAGCCGCGTGCGCTACATCGCCAACAGGGCCCGGCAGGCCCAGGAGAGGCAGCGCCTGCAGGGCCGGGCACAGCTCGGGGGGAGCCCCATCGAGGAGAGGGGCAACCCCGAGGGCGCCTGCAGCGTGGGCAGGGCCGGCTGCACCGACCCCGCTGCCCACACGGCCCTGCCACCCTCGCCCAAAGCCCAGCCCGACTGCGGCGCGGACACCGAGGTGTTCTTCATGCTCAAACTGTGACCCTGGCAGTGCTGGGCGCTGTTTACACTCCTGTCACAGCAAAGCACGGCGACATGAGAGGCCCAAAACCATCCTGCCACGGCTCGGTGCTTCCTGGCCTTCCCTTGAGCCCAAGGGTGCTCAACATCACGACTCCAAAAGGATAGATGAGATTAATTTTTAATCGTGCTTTGCCCAGCCTCTAATTTGGCCTCCTTTGTGTGTGACCACTTCTTGAGTTTGCAGTTTGCTCTTGGTCTTTACTAATTTCAATAATTCTTCTGACAATAGGTAACCTTGATGTTTAATAGCTAAATGTGATGCTAACGACAGCTAAGGTAAATTTTGCTCTTACAAATCATGGATCCACGTAAGGAGGCTGGACTTAGAATCACATTTTGTTTTCTGGAAGAGTTTGAGGCCTCTGAGGGTGTGAATTAATAATGTAGTAGATACAGTCCATCTTCCATCGTGGACCTGCTTATTTCAGTGGAAATCCATATTTTCTCTTTGAAGAAGAGCTCTCTTGTTCAAAGCAATGCTTTTATAAACTCAGCCTGTTTATATCTCTATATCAATATATATCTATATATATACACCTGTGTGTATGCAAAGATCTGTCTGCACATGTATGTACACATGCACACCCTGAAACTGAACTGTGACTGTTCCTGGTCTCAAGGCATTGTCTGAGGGAATTGAGACAGGAGAGAGAGAAGGGAATGGCTAAAAATAGACAGGAAATATCTTCTGACTTTACTTCAGAAATGGCTACGAAGCATGTCAGTCTTTTCTTGAAACAGCACTGTCCCTTCTTATGGTATTTTAACAATGCTGCTGTACATAGCACTTTTTGGATGAATTTTACTATTTCTGTATTGCACTGCCATGCAAAATTTTCAATGATATGTTTAAAAAAGATATTTAATTTTTTAGATGGACATATTTAGAATTAAATAACAACCTAAACAGAGTAATAATTTTTCCACCCCTTTTGTTTTTTTACTTTTTATTTTTAGGGATGTTGTCATGTGTCCCCCCAGTCCCCAATTATGATGTCATTTATTATAGATGTACATTTTATCAGTGATGGAGAAGAATGTTTACTAAGATGCATTTTAAAGAGAAACAGAGGTTTAATTTTATTTCAGGCTGCATAGAGTCCCTATTATTGAGAGGATATTTTGCATTTGTAATGATTCTTTTGTGTATATTGCAAAATTTAAGAATTTGTTTGTAAAACCACCTTACTCTACTAAAATAAACATATTTAACCTTCCAGCTGGTGACTCTAGCTGTAACACAACACTGGGCTTTGGGATACACAAACATAATTCATTCTACCTGCTTTGTTTTTCAACTTCCTTTGTGGATAACATTTAATTTTACTCTTTTTCAGAGGGGTAGCCAGCACGGATGCAGCTGAGATTTTTCTCAGGTCCTCCAGAACATGTGCAAGGATTGGCAGAGACTGACATTCTGTGGTGTGAGACACAGCACAGGGGCTGGGGCAGAGCCCTGGCTGCAAGGATGAAAACTCTGCTGGAATTAGTAGCCAAACAGACAGAAGGAGCTGATCCATCCTGGAGCAGCTGTACAAGTAACACAGATGGCCCTGTTTCATCACTGAGGGGTTTAAAGTCTGGCTGAAAATGCTGCAGCACAATTTTGCTCTTCACCTGTCACTTGACTGAAAAATCACTTCTATTCCTGTCCCAGCAAAGTGCACAGTGAAAGTGCATTTTACTTCCTTCACACTCCTCCTGGAAGGGTTGTCACTTGTGGAGCTGGAAAGGAGCTCTTGGTTCTAATTTTAGCATCACTTGGCCACAAGAATTTAAATTCTGAGATACCAAAACAGCAACAAAATTTAAACCCTGAGATATCAAAATATAAGGCGGGGGGGGGGGTGTGTGTGTTAAATTTTCTGATTGAATCTTTTCAAATGCTCTTCAACATGTTTTGTCTGAAAATATTCCCTCAGTTTTGCAGCCTGGCTCAGATCTGCATAGCTTGTCTGCAGGACTCGGATCCTGCAGGTCCCAGGAGAGCTTTGTGCAGCAAAGGTTTGGAATGTGCACTGAGGTGACCCCTCAGTGTCACTGCAGGCTCTGAAGGAAAGGAGGTGAAGCTGCAGCAGAACGTGTGATCTGCCAAGAGGAGCCTCCCATTGTGTCCCAGCACAAAGCAAATTTCATTAACATTCTCTGGACGAAAAATCATTCTTGTAATACTTTAATTTCGGGCTGAAAAGCTGCAGGGAGTCGTTGCTTTTGTAACTTTAATGCTTTTGCAGCTTTAATGTCAAGTACATGCAACTTGACAGCTTTGGAAAGTGAATGTTTAAAAGGCCTATTTGTGTCTTCTCAAAGAAGTCTCACAATCAGCTGATTTTTCATCTTTAATTGATTAAGCAATACTTGTTAAATTAATGCACCTCACAGGAGGCAGCATCATGTAGCACTTCAAAACATTTACCTCTGTTCAGAATTTTAACCAAGAGGGTCTGGATTTAACTCATTGGGGTACAAGTGAAATTTGCCATCTTGCTTCCAAATTAGTAGCAACCAGTTTAACAGCTTGTTTTGTGATGCTACCTAAGACCCACCATTGATCATGCATTTATTTATTCCTACAAGTGGAATTCATTCCAGCATTTAAGAATTATTTGGAATTTAAGTCAGCAGAAGGTCGCAGTTTTGCTCTTCATTCTTCTGCTCTTCCTGAGACTCCTGGATGTGGATTTCAGTTCATTAAACTGTAAGATCTAAAATCCAGAGTCTCCAGATCACAAGCAGTGTATTGGGAATGGCTGGACATGGGATTTATGGTCTGTATTCCTCCAGCCTGGCCTTCAAGAGCACTGATAATGAACTTTAATTGTCTTTCAAAGCTGATTCTGTCTGTGTGATCAACAGGCAGGAAAATGGGCACAGCTGCTGCTCTGCTGGGACAGTTCCAAAGGCAGGAATTTTACAGGAACACCACAGCCCAGTAACAGAATTTTGTGAGTGTTGGTGCAGCATCCAGCTGCTGGACTGAGCTGTCCTTTGGTGTGGTCGCCTCTTTCCCCAAAGCCCCAGGTGTCCCCCGTTTGGCTGGCACGTTTGGAGGCCACTCCTCCTCCTCCTCCTCCTCCTCCTCCTCTCCCGGGTATTTAAACCAGCACGGGATCCCCACTGCTCCTGTGCCGGGCATCCCGAGCATCCTGCACGGACCCACGGACAGACAGACAGACAGACGGGCCGAGGGAGTCTCTGTAAGTGAGAAACTGCCTTCAGTTCGTGCTCTGCTTCTGGCAAGGGGCAAAGCCTGGTGCTACCGGCTCCTTCCTGGCTTTTTAACCCACATTTACACCCTATATGTGCTCTCAAATATTAACAACTCCCTTTTCAAGGTGATGCCAGCAATATGTTACCTCCTCTGATTAGTTTGGGTGTTTTTCAGAGGAGCCACTTGAAACAAAGATGATTTTGTTGCATTTACCAAATTGTAAAGGAAAAAGAACAGGAATTTAGAGGTTAAGCCTACCAGGAAAAGCACAGCTCCTCCCTGGCTCAGCCTGGAGGTTGCTGCTTCTTTTGCTTTTTTCTCCTCATGGTTGATGCAGCTGCTCAGTTTTTGTGCTGCTCTGGCAACAGCCAAGAGCAGCAACTACTTTGTCTAAAAAGTAGTCACAGAATAAAGTCAGTGTTGGCTGATGTACAGCTCAGATCTCAGCCCTCTCCTTTGGTCCTTTCACAAGGATCAACATATTCCCATTTGGCAGCATGTTTTAACAGCAGCAACAACAAAATCAACATTGAAATTTAACCTGGAAAGAACCTTCTGTGGAGGTTTTAGTTATTTCTCTCATTAGGTGAAAAATACAGGGAAAGTACTGAGCTGTAATGCTAAGAGTTTTCATAGGATGCAAGATTGGGGAAATTTCTTAAAGGCTGATGAGGTAAGATCACTAAATCCAGTGTTTTCTGAGCATCAGTCAGCAGCAAGTAATGCCACATGTAGTATATTTTGCCTGCACGCTCTCTTAAATTGTAAATTTTCTTGGGCATTTTAAATTTATGTATTATAATTTCAAGTGTAATGGTGTCCTATATCTTGTTGGACAAGAAATACCATTAAAAATATTGCTGCTGCTTCCTCTCCTGCCCTTTCCCTGGTGGGGAACCTACAGGGAGAGAACCACCAGTGAGTAATTCCCCTTGTTTTTGATTTGTCACATCCTTTTTGCTGCAGTGGGGACTTCACCAGAGCCTCTCTTTAATTCTGGCTGAGCTCAGCAGTGACTGAGCTCCAGTTTTCAGCTGGAGACTTTGTTTGGAATTGTGGCTCTACAGAACAAGGAACAGAAAATCCAGGACAAGCTGATCTCACCCAGGGATGAGGAGCTGTAGAATGAGGTTTAACTGCTTGCCTTTCACCTCCAGCAGGAAGGTTCCTTTAGAGCAGCAGGAATTTCTGCTCCAATGGATAAAGGTCTTCACTTCACAATCTGTGTGGTTACAACCGTGCTGCTCCTGAGGGAATCGAGCCAGGCAGGTGAGGAGAAGGATCCGGAATTGTTGGCTGAACAAACCTGGTTTTGTTCTTTTTCAGAGCATTAATTCCTTCAGTTTTTACCTGCCAGTGCTTGCAGGACTTTGTCTTAATCCCAGAATTTGCTTTCAAATGGGTTATTAAGAGATTCCCCAGGGCTCACCTTGTGGCTGTGACTTTGTGAGTGCTGCCACCAAGTGTTTTTGATGCCACCAAGTGTCTTTGATGTCCCCAAGTCTCTTTGCTGCTACAGTTGAAACCCAGATGACAGAGACGGGGGAAGATGAAAAGAGCCAAGAAAAAGGATGGGTTTAGGTGTGGTTATTGTGGTTAAAGCTGCACCTCTGTGAGTTTATGCTCCTTGAGCTGCAGCAAGATGTGCTGAGGATGGGGAGAAAACTGAGCTGAGGTGGCCAGTCCTGACCAGTGCCAGGAGCCTTTTCCCCAGGATTCCAGCAGGAGCATCCCTCTGGAGGGCTGGACAAGCTCAGAGTAGCAGGAGCAAAGAAAAAGCTGATTTTTTGCAGCCACAGATGCTTCCTGCAGCCACCAACCTGCGAAGGGAGGGATGAGCCCTTCCCTTTGTCCTGTGCTGCTGCTGAGGATCCCCAGGAGGAAGCCTCGGTGCTGGGACTGTCCCTGCCATGACCTGGGGTTGGTGCTGCAGCCCCATCACCCCTGGGCCTTTCAGGAGGGCTCACAAAGGGGCTTTGAGCCGGGAGCTGCAGCCCTGAGAACGCTCTGCTGGCTTCCAAGGAACCCCACAGGCCCTGAGAAAGGGGCCTCCAAAAGCTGCTGCTGCCTTTAAAGGGTTGCTGAAGGGAGACAAGAGAACTCCTTTGTGAAGATTTCCAGCCCCCATGGAGAACTGTAGTGGAGAGGGAAAAAACACGTTTTGTTTTACAATAATGTGGAGTTCAGCACAAGGCCAGAAAATGCAACACCAAAGAAGGAAAAATAAATACATAATGAATGAATATGCTGTTGCATTTAGAGAGAAACTCACAGTTTTTGCTTGAAAGAGTGAAAACACCCTGCGTTTTTTGGTTTATTTTGAGGGACTTTTGGCTTCTGTGCAGTGAATTCTGAGTCCAAGGAGTAATACTAAGCAGATTCTAGACAAATCATCACAGGCAATTAATAAGCAATATATTGACAAAATTGTGATTTTTAATTCTGCATCTCAGATGCAGAACCTGCCAGCAGTAGGGGAAAGGAAGAGTAAGAAAAAACAGTGCCTGGAAATGGGTGGTGAGGAACTTTTGGCTCCTGCTCAGGGGGAAATGGGGTTGGCAGGAATGGGGGCAAATCTGGGCTGTGTGAGGAAGCAGAAAAGCTGGTGCTGCCCCTCCTCAGGGATGGACTGGCTGTGCAGGATCCATCCCTCGGGGTGAGGGACATGAAGTGACATCATGAAGTGACATTAGAACCTCCTGCAGCCCCACTCCTGCCTGTCTCTGCCTTCTTTGTGCCCTGGGGGAGGAAACAAAGGGAGGTGGGGAGTTGAGGGCCATGGTTCTGATTATTTCAGTGCACTGTGAAATGAGGAGCTGTAAATACAAGCCCCACACAAATCTGATTTTGTTGTATTTTTCCAGGAGCTGGGAGGAATGATGATGCTGTGAGTAAGGTATGTTGGAGTTCATTAGTGCAGAGCTGCTAACGAAGGCATAGGGCAGATGATCTTAAATATTTAATTCAGAAATAGTGGTCGGAGTGTACAAAGATTTTAATCTGTGAAGAGTTATTATTTTAAGTACACTGTTCATGGCTGGCTGTGTCTCTGTGCTGTTTTTGTGGGGTTTTTTGACTGAATTTTTTGTCCAGAGCTCAATATTCAGTCGTGTCCCTGTGAAGAACCTGCCAGTAGCCCTGTCATCATGGCTGGTAAAGTCGGGGAATTTGTGATCAGAGCATCCAAGACAAAGCTCATCCCTCAAACCCTTCTAATTGCACAGAAATAATTTAAACAAGATCATTTTGCTCCTGAAGACTGAGGTTTCTTTTGCACATTGTGTACTGCATGTTTATATATATATATATTTATACGTATATATTTATAATATATTTATATATATTAATATTTATATATTCACACACACATATACACGTCCTTTCTCTTTCTGTCTAGAAAAATCGCCCTGTAATTTTACAATAAACAAATACATTTCAGGCCAATAAACCTCATAGAATCTGACACTTCACCAGAAAAAGCTTAAATTGCCCTGAAGTGGCTTTGATGAGGAATCCTCTGGAGCTGGGTGACTGGAAAATCTGAAGATGTATCTTTAACTCACAGAAGTGAATCCCCGTGTTCTTCTCCTCCTCCTCTCAGGTTTCCAACTGTTCTGTGTCTCCTGGAATTGCTCTCTAATGAGACCTTAATTGGCTGCTAATTCTTTTGTCTGCAGCACGAACTGGTCTCTTGGGAAGGCTGCACACACCATCTGAAGATGTGCGGCAGCGTTTGCAGTGATTTTTGTTTGCACCAGGCGATGAAGTGAAACGCTGTGATCTATTAATTAGTTAATTAGGAAACAGCATCAGCCACTGCAGCTCTCGGGGCAGGTTTAGGGCTGGTTTAACTCAGGCACACCCCAAGGTAAGGCCCAGCCTGGTGGGGCCATGCCTGGGACTTGGAAATCCAACTTTTCCTCAATTTCTGGTTTGCAGGGCACAGACTCACGGGGAGCAGGCGAGGGTCTCCCAACCCTGACAGTCACAACGATCCTGGTAAGGCTGAGACAGTGGCAGGGAACAGCTGGAACAGCTGGAACTGCACTTGGCCTTTCACATTCTGCCTGTCTATGTGCAGGGGTGTTTTGGACTGGCTTTGGCAGTGATGTCCCTGCTCCTGGCAGTGTTTTGGGGGCTGGCTCAGGGGTGCAGAGGTGCCAGCTCTCTGCAGTGGGCACAGGGAGGGTTTGGAGGCTGTCACTGGGGCACAGGGCTGTGTCAGTGCTCTGGGGAGGCAGCCAGTCCTCTCTACTGAGCTACACCTGAGATGTTCAGTCCCCAGTGTTGTGTCTGCCCTGAGGTAGGAGCAATGTAAAAATCAGGAGGTAAAATCCCCCAAATGCATCACCAGGTGCTCCAGACAAGCAGGATTTCAGGAGAAGCTGCAGCAGTGAATTTTCTGATCCTGATGTCAGGCCCTGCTCAGCCTTTGCCCTTCACCTGAGGCTTTGATGGGGCCAAAATGAAAATATTTAGCTTTTAGGCCGAGGAGAGATTTTAATTTATCCCTGTGGTACCTGTGACCTGCAGCATGCAGCTGCCCTGGTGGTGATTCATGTCTCTAGGGAATATCTTCCCAGTCTGGAGCTGTCCGTGCATTAATGGGAGAGGAATAACGGGGAGGGTTTTCCAAGGCTGGGTTTAACTGCCCTGGCTGTCCCTGCCCTGTGGGAGGTGCAGCTGTGTGTGTGTGTCCCTCCCTGGCAGGAGGATCCGTACGTGATGGTGCGGGGAGCAGAGCTGGAGGGATACTGCATGGAGCTGCTGGCAGCCCTGGCGGGGATGCTGCGCTTCCAGTACCGGGTCAAGGTGGTGGGGGACGGCCAGTACGGAGCCGTGGCTGCTGGTGGCAACTGGACTGGCATGATCGGGGAGATCCTCAGGAGGGTAAGGCCAGCTCGGGCTCCTCACCCGCCCTGCAGGGACAGCACAGCTCTTGGGCTGCCTTAGGATCTGCTCAGGGACTGAGGAACTCGGAGTTCTCCTGCCTGGAGTGTAGAAATGATGCAAGGCTTGGAGCTGGGTTTGGCTTACAGTGGTGGAAATAAGGCACAAGGAGACAGCGGCCACAGCAGGAAACCCCTGTTAGAGCCAGGGCAGCACTTGTCTCTCTCAGTGTTTCTCTGTAGCCTGTGAGACTGTGCAGATACCTTGGCAAAACTTACCCTAAGCTTAACCCCTGGGTGAGACTCATTTCATTCAGAATGGCAATGCCCAGACTCTTCAAGAGATGCTTGAATGCACTTTTCACCCCATCAGGTGCATTTCCTGTGGCTGTCCTGTCATCTGTGGGGAACTCTTCAATGAATGCTCTTTGCCCCTCTGAGCTCAGTCTGTGCCCAGCTCTCAGCCAGAGTCAGGAGCAGCCTTTTTTTTTGGGTCAGCAAACCCAGAATAGCTCCTGCTGCAGAAGGAAACCAGAAGCCCCAGTGACCAAACAGCATCTCACTGTGGATGATTCCACTGGTGGAATTCCATTGCATTGATTTCTATGGGAAACCTGTCCTGTTCCTTGGGGCTCACATCCCAAGGCTGTTGACTTGGAGAAATGATGCCATTTCAACACCTGCCCACCCAGCCAGGGAAGCACCTGCTTGAGGGACAGAAAGGTTTGAGGGACAGAAACGTCCCCTGGGCTGGGTGGCTGATTTTGTTTTTTATCTCCTTGGCAGGAAGCTGACATTGCAGTGGCTCCCCTGACCGTCACCTCAGCCAGGGAAGAGGTGGTGTCCTTCACCACGCCCTTCCTGCAGACTGGGATTGGGATCCTGCTCCGTAAGGACACAACCTCCCAGGACATGTCTTTCTTCCACTTCCTGTCTCCTTTCAGCAAGGAGACCTGGACTGCCCTTCTGTTCGCTTACCTGCTCACCTGCTTCTGCCTCTTTCTTGTGGCCAGGTACAAATGCATTTCTTTCACAGATTGTGTTTAAGCCAGTGGCTCTGTCACCTATGAAGTGATTAGCAAGTCCCAGGCAGCCTTTTGCTTTGAGGAACCTCCTGTACAGCTCCAGTACAATGGCTAAGAAAGCTTAAATCTTGTCAGATTAAGCCAGCATTATGAGTGGGATCTCCCCATGAGGAATACCAGATCTCTTGATGAGGATTATTTTTATTTTTTCTCTCTGAATGTCTGGTTTTATCCTCTTATTTTCTGGCAGACTGAGCCCTTGTGAATGGAATGAACCAAAGAATGAAGAGAACCACTTCACCTTCCTGAACAGCCTCTGGTTTGGAGCAGGAGCACTGGCCCTGCAAGGTGAGCTGGGAGGATGCACCAGAGCAGCTCTGGGAGCAGCAGGGTTTTTAACATGATGGTGCACCCAGCTCCTTCTGTGACACTGGGGTGACAAGGTGTCTTAGTAGGGCCATTTGGAGCACTAAAGCACTTTGGGGAGGTGTGATTACAGACCTGCTGGGCTTGGCCAGGTGATTGCCTCTGGCTGGGGAACATTTTCTGCTCTGGGCAATGTCCAGCTGAGCATGGCATGGCTGCTTTGTACAGAGGAGTTGTTTGTGCAGCTTTGGGCCACTGCTGCTGCTGCAGCCCTGCACTGCAGCACTGGTGCTGCTCAGACCAGCACAGTGGGGCCCACCAGGCTTGGGCTCTGTGTAGCTGCAGGGCAGGGGCTGCAGTTTGCCTTTACTTAAAGGGAAGTCTCTGTAACTCAAGCTGGTGGATCTGCAGTTCTTGGTGTGTCTCTGGCCCTATGTCCCCTCCTGTGTGATTTATGGTGATTTCTTGGTTCCCTGTGGTGCAGGTGCCACCCCCAGGCCCCAGGCACTCTCAGTGAGGGTCATTGCTGTGGTCTGGTGGCTCTTCACCCTGGCCCTGCTGGCCGCCTACATCGCCAACTTCACAGCCCTGCTGAGCTCCGGCAGCGAGCAGCTCCCCATCCAGACCTTTGAGGACCTGGTCAAGCAAAGGAATCTGGAGTTTGGGACATTGGAGGGCTCCTCGACTTTCTACTACTTCAAGGTGCAGAGAATCTTGTCATGCCCATACACAGGGGCTGTAGGATGCTGAGCTGGGGCTGGGTCACACAGCTCAGGCCTTAGAACCCCTACAGCACCCTCATCACTGTTGACTCTCTGTTTTCCTGTAATACTTCAAATAATATGATTATTGTTGTGTTCAGCTCTTCCTCCACCTCTTCTCACAGGAAAGTAGACGCAGAACTCTTATTTTTGTTCTGTATTATCCTTTTAAAATCTCTCTACTCTTCATGTATACCTCAAGAGCAGGTGCCATCTATGACACCTGTACCCCTGTGTGATGCTTTTTCCTGGTGCTTGAGACAATCTGTGCTTGCAGGATGTTGCATAAACATATGGTTTAAGTGCTCTTCTTCTCCAAATTGTTTTACAACCCCTGCACCTACAGGCACGTTTTTATTTTATTTTTTTTTTTTGGTGGTTGTCTCACACTTGAGTTTGACACTTGGATTTTTGGGCTGCAGAACTCCAAGAACCCCATCCACCAGATGATCTATGAGTACATGGAGAAGAGGAGGGAGCACGTCCTGGTCAAGACGTACCAGGAGGCCGTGCAGCGCGTGATGGACTCCAACTACGCCTTCATCGGCGAGTCCATCTCGCAGGACCTGGCGGCCGCCCGCCACTGCAACCTCATCAGGGCCCCCGAGGTCATCGGGGCCCGCGGCTTCGGCATCGCCACGGCCCAGGGTGAGTCCCTGTCCCCCCTGCTCCTCCCTGGATGGCACAACTGCAGGAGCAGGGACAGACGTGGGCCAGAGCCAGCATTGCTGTCGAGGGGGACCGGACTGAAAATGCTGCAGGGCAGGGTCACTGCTCTGTGGGGAATTAACACTGGCACTCGTTGGCTTTCACTGTGAACTCTGATCCACAAATATTCCATCTCTCAGGGTGTCCTTGTCCCAGGAATGCAGATCCCCTAATGAAATGAACAGGGGACAGTCTGTTCATGTTCTTCCCAAAGCACCTTTGCCCTGCCCTTATCCCACAGGTGTTACCACCCTCTGTGGCCAGGGCAGGGTGGTTGTTAGCAAGGAAAAGCCTGGTTGTGTTCAGTGACACCTCTAACCCCTCACCCATTAACAATGTTTAACTAAACCGTGGCTGGGAGCTCTCCCATCCTCCTCTCTCTCCTCTCCCTCTGCCCAGCATCCCCCTGGACCAAGCCTCTGTCCATCGCCGTGCTCAAGCTGCGCGAGGCGGGCGACCTGGATTACCTGCGCAACAAATGGTGGGAGAGCAGCTGCCTGCGCCAGAGCCGGGACCGCTGGGGGCCCCTGGAGCCGCCGGCGCTGGGAGGGCTCTTCCTCACCCTGGGCATCGGCCTCGCCCTCGGCGTCCTCGCTGCCCTGGCCGAGCTCTCCAGCAGCAGCCGCCGAGCGGCCGCGCACGCCAAGGTGGGCCCTGGTTCCTGCACCGACCCCATCCCGCCTCCCTGTGTCCCTCCTTCTGCCAAGGTGGGCCCTGGTTCCTGCTCTGGGTCCTGTCCTGCCTCCCTGTGTCCCCCCTTTGGCCAAGGTGGGCCCTGGTTCCTGCGCCGACCCCATCCCACCTCCCTGTGTCCCTCCTTTGGCCAAGGTGGGCCCTGGTTCCTGCATTTAATCCTGTCCTGTCTCTGTGTGTCTCTCATTCCACCAATGTGGGCCCTGCACCTTGTCCTGCCTCTGTCTGTCCCTCCTTTCTCCAAGGTGGCCCCCAGTTCCTGTCCTGCCTCCCCGTGTCTCTCCTGCACCAGCAATTCCACCCTGACCTTGGTTTTCTAAGGAAAGCTGTGCATTGGGCAGGGGTGAGGGGAGGCTGTGCTTAAAGACACCTTAAAGTGACAACATTTCACAGCTTGGGCTGTGGGATGGGTTTGTAGCCTGAACAGCATAAATATAAAAAAATAAAAGAACTCCCTAGCACCCCTTCCCCCCCTCTCAAAACAAAAAAAAAAATTAAGAAACATTCCCTGAAGTCCCAAGGCAGCCAAATTGCAGTCTACTACCCTGGGTGTTAGAGAGGACAGTAAATGATCCATAACAAGTTTATTCTCAGTGCTGGCTGTTCTTTAGTCATTAGACAAGGAAAACACACACAGAAACTGCACCAGTATCTGAGTGTGCCCCTTGGTGCTCCTCTCCAGCCCTGCCAATGTGCACATGGAAAAGATGGATCCACAGAACCACCCACCCACGGCCTTCTCTCCCATTTCTCTTTCAGAAATCCTGTTGCTCTGTTTTCACAGAAGAAATCTGCACTCGTCTACGCATAAAAGGAGCTGCCAGACAAAGCCAGGAGACGTCAGGGAAGGCAAATGCTTAAAGGAGTTTCTGCTGGAGGAATAGGGCCTGTGTTAGGGCTGTACCACATCCTAGGAGCTGTATCAGTGTAGGAAGATGTTTTTCTGCTAGTCTAGAGTGTTAGTTTGCTAATTACACACACACACAGAGCATTTCTGGAGTGGTGGTAGTGCTGCAGACACAAGGAAATGAAGTGGCTTGGAAGAATTTAAATTGATAAGGAGTGGAACTGTAACAAATTGATAAACTGGAGCTGGCCAGGATGGTGGATCCATGTTTAGGTTTGAAGTTAACCCTGTAAGTCCATGAAGGCCTGTAGGAGGAAGTGACTGGGGACAGGTTAATGTGAAGCCTCTGTTACTAATTCCTGTGTGAGGAAGAGTTGTGGAACATTAAAGCTCTTGTCTGCCTGCTGTAATCAGGAACAGCAGCTTAAGCATTGCAGCTATAAATAGCCTCACCCTGCCCTGCCTGAGCAGGAGGTGCTGGTCCCTGGGAAGGTAAATCCTGAATCAGAACTGAGAGTGCTGCTGTGTAACCCCAAAAGGCCCTCCCTGCACCCCAAACCCCACAAAGAGTGCCCCTGCCACCAAGGAACCACTGGAGCTGAGAAATGCCAGGCAGGGCTTGTCCTTTGTCCCTTCCCAGCACAGGGTAAGGGCCACTGTTGGGGGACACAGAATGTTTTGCTCTCCCTGCCCAAGAATTGAAGAATTGAAATCCCTCAGCACCAGAGCAGGGAAGGAGTGTGGGGATGAGTCAAACACAGCAGAGCCCCAGCTCCTCTGCAAGGGGAGATGTGAGGGTGTTTTGCATCACACTCCTGCTCTCAAAGAATGCTGAAGTTCAGGGGAACAGTTTTCTCAGCTGCATGTTAAACACTTTCCTCATTAAGCTGTTTTCCCTTTCAGAGCTGGGATGACTGAGGCATGTAAGTGTTAGGGCAAATTGGTGGTGAAATCATTCCATTTATAAACTGCACAGCTGAAGAGGGAAAAAGCAAATTGGGCTCCTTGGGAATGGCTGTAATTGCACTGCAGGAACAAAGACACCAATCCTTGTCAGTCCTAGCAGGGAGAACTGAAGGCAATAGAAACCAAGGGGCTCAGGCTGGGAAGTTGTGGGTGATCCTGAATCCAGCACTGCACCTTCCCTGGGAGGGGAACTTAGTGAGACTCAGCTTCCAGCTGCTGTGAGGAGTTCAGTGTAGCTGCAGGACTCCCTCCCATGGCCCTCCTGCTAATGGGAACAAACAAGGAGTTAGGAATTCCAGGTGCTGGGAAACCAGGGCGTGTCCTTAACTCATACTGCACCAGCCCTGGCTCACTCACAGCCTGAGCAACGTTTGTGGGAGCAGCCCTTCCAGCAGCTGTGGGAGCAGGAGAGATTTGGGTAAGTCTAAAAGCTGAAAATGCAACGTCAGGTTCACTTCGCAGTTAAAAACAATTTGGTACGTGCTGTGTCACTGCTGGCAGAGTAGGCAGAGATGTATAAAAAAGGTTTCATTGACATTTAAATATATTTCTATATGAATGTCTCACAGAACAAAAAAATAAAGTCTTTTCATCACAAATACTGCAGCATTAAAATAAACACTTACCAAAATAAACAATGAGTGATATACATATATATATTTGAGTGTGTAGACTATAGAGTGAATCATATTGTCGCTTTTTAAGTCACAAAAGCACAATATAAATACGGAATTTCCTGTGAACTCTTGTCCCTGTTGTAATAAAAATACATTCTTTACAGTTAAAGTAAAACTAGTGCAAGTCCATCGGCCGTGCCAGCTCCATCATTTACAGGGCACTTCGTACTTGAAGATGACGCTGAAGATTTTGCCCCCGAGGCGGTCGGCGAGCCACGAGTTCTTGATGACGGCCAGCTTGAGGCTCTCACACCTGAGCACGGCGTAGTAGTTGGTGTGGATGGCCCTGCCCATGCCCTCGATGACCACCAGGTCCGTCTGTCGCTCCCGCACCAGCACGGCCAGGCCCTGGTCCAGGCGGCTGCAACACAGCGAGGTCAGAGCGGCCACACCTCGGCTACATCTCGGCCACAGCTCAGCCACCACTGCGGCCACACCACAGCCACACCTGGGCAACACTGCAGCCACCTTTCAGTCACACCACAGCCACACCTTAGCTCCACCCACAGCCACAACTTGGCCACCACTGCAGCCACATTTCAGTCACACCAGAGCCACACCTTAGCTCCACCCACAGCCACACTGCAACCACAGAACAGCCACAGCTGCAGTCACACCCCAGGGCTGCCCCGAGCTGCCCGCTGGGACTCTGGAGCTACTGGTGCCCACAAACAGTGGCACCTGAAAGCCAAGGGGATCAACTGAAATGTTGTTTAAATGCACCCAGCTTGGGATTTTGACACAGGTTCTGTCTCCAGCAGAGGAGCTGATCAGAAGGAAATAGGTTAAACAAGGTGAAAATATGCTTCTGTCCCAGGGGGTTTTGGCCACCTGCAGGATCTGACATCAGCCATAACCTGACCTGCTCCTGATCCAGCTGTGTCCTGAACACAGACAACTCACCAAGGGCCAAAAGCTGTAAGGCCTGAGCAGTGTCACAGGTCTGTAAATCCACACTAAGCACCTCCTAATGGGTATGCAGAAGTGATTCCCAGCAGGAAGGGTGGCTGGGATGCTCCACAGCCAAACCTTTGACCATCCTGCAGCTGGGGGGGACAAACCACACAGTGGCACTTTGCCCACATACCTCAGATCCAGGCACGGAGAACTGGAGCCCGTCTGAACCAACAGCAGTTTCTCATCCCTCAGTGCAGAACTGTTTAAAAAGACAAAAATATTAAACAGCTGCTTCAAGCAGGGCCTTACACATCTGGGAATAAGCCAGAGAAGCAGGAATATCGAAGCCTCTTTTGCAAAGGCTTCCTTTGCTGCAGGGACTTCACCAGGAAACACAATGTTTCCTTGAGCACAAGGATTGCTCAGTCAGCCCTGCATCCTCTCCTGGGGACCCTCTGAGTTACATACATGGCTTTGCCTCTATTAACATAGAAAATTCCTGGTAGAGCAGCTGGAGTGCTTGTCAGGGAAGACATCACACGAAATATAAGTATGGGTGTGCCAGAAAGACCCAATTTCTAAATTTTTCTCTTTAATGAAAGCAAACGCTCTGCCTTGGGCTGAGGCTGCAGGTTACAGGTGCTACTAAGCACTGAAATGCAAGCCCAGGCTGTGCCCAGGACTTTGTTTCTCCCCAGGGAGGTGTGACAGACGTGGTGCTTACTGGATCACGGGGTCCATGGCCGCGATGCGCTCGGTCACGATCAGGGACTCGCTGTAGGTGACGTCGTTGAGGGCAGGGCCAGAGTTACAGGCCAAAATCACCTGGGGGGAAGGGGCCAGGAGAGGTCACACAGTCAGGCTCTGGCATGCCAGGTGCTTGGATTATTCCCAGTTTGGCAGAGAAGTGTCCTGCTGGTGGGCAGTGACACCTTCCAGCAGTTACCAAAACTCCAAAGAATTGGCAAGGGAAACCACTCACCTCTGTCCCTCTAGAAAGGAGCTCTCGGACAAAAGGAAAGACTCCTAAAATTATGTCTATCCCACTGTTATCTGCGAAAATTAAGGCACATTTATGAGGGGGACCCTCCTGCAAGAGAAAACCAATGCATTCAGGATGGAGCACCACTCACCTCAGGGAAGTTTGTTATTCACAGCTACTACTCCAAACCCCCACATTTTACACCCTCAAACACTTGAGCCTTTGGGTTTGGATTGAAGCAAACTCCCAGCACACAGCAGTGACAAATAGGAGGAATGGGGCTCCCTGATGGTGTCTTTGCACAAGGGTTTAAAACAGCCTCGAGTTCCTGTGCTGTGTTTGAGACAGGGCTCTCAAACTCCAGCAATAAAACCTCCACTGCCAACTCAAGCCAGGCCTAACTCCAGTCAGGCTGATCCTGAACGTGCTGGGTGCCAGCTGGACCTACCTTGGAGGGTGTTTTAAGCCAGCCTGGTGCTGGCTGAACAGGATTTCCTTTTGCCAGGAAAGGGCAGGATGGACTGTGGGGGCAGTGACATCCTAAAATGAAAAGATAGTGCCTATTCTCCATTAACCTCTTCATTTGTTCTCAACCTGGGGTTATGAAACTTAGTTCACTCCAGTTCATACCAGCAGAAGAACTGAAAAATGCTTAATTCCTAATAAAAACTGACAGGACAGTGCCTGTAGTTCCCTAATTATCCCTGTTACACAAGATTAGCTGATGCTTTGTTTTAGGATGGAGCATGTAATGATTTGCCATAGTCTGCTCATCCCCAACCTTTAGGCTGCCATTTCCAACAGAGAGATTTAGACAAAGACACAAAAGCTTTTTAATTAATCTTAATTAAATGGTAAAAGAGATCACATGGGGAAAAAAAAATAAGAAGCTTTGCTAATTGATAAGTTCATTACTTCCAGTAAGCTCCTACATTAATGCCAGTTTTAGGTTGGCTATTCAGAGGGAGGAACAACTCAAACATTACATTTGGCCCCAGGGGTCTGGGTGTATGGAAATAAGAGCCCTGACAAGGAAGGGAGGCTCTGGAGCATCTCTGAGAGCAGCTGGGCTCCAGTGGGAATTCAGGGAAGCAGCTTGGGAACTAACCACGTTTCAGACTAATTCCTTTAGTTTTTTCTTTATGGTGAATAATTGGGATTTGTTTTGGGCTGTCTGAACAGAGTTCTGTTCAAACCCCACAATTACTGAGGTGGTTTGATGATTAAGGTGTTTAATTAGTGGGTTTAGGGCCACCCAGGGTCGTACCTTCAGTCGCTCCAGCCACTGGCTGTAGGAATCTTCCAACCAGGGACGTTCTGTGTAGACAGAGCAGTGTCAGCATTTTTTATCAGCAGCCACTAACCCTTATCAGCAGTCATTGTGCACATGGTACAAGCAGGAGGTTCATACTGCACTCACTGAAGCATTTGAGCTCAGGTTTGGAATGTTAAATGTGAAGGTTCACAGATTTCCTGAGTTCTCTGTTACAGGAATGACTCCATGAGAATAAGTGGAATAAGTGGAATTTTCTCACTAAAGCTCTGGAGTGGTGTGAGCTGGGTGCTGGCCTGGGGGTGCTGGATGGACCCCCCAGGACACTGTTCCCTGGCAGGGACACAACAGTGAGTGACCATGTCTGTGTTTGGAGAGAGTCTGCAGCTTTAATTCCTTTGGAGCATTACCCAGACTCTGGGTCTGCATTTAGAAACCCTCACAAGTCCTAATGACTCCCTGTCATCTGGGCAGCAGAACCCCCACAAACATTCCCACTCCATCCCCTCACTAACATCCAGCTCCAACCACCAGCATGGATCTCCCCTTACCTTGGAGCTTTGACTTGGCTTCTTCAAACCCAAACTGTGGCTCAGACTCCAGAACACTGGAAGAGGAGAGAAACAAAGGGCACACTGTTCAATTCCTCCATCTCACACCAGTGGAATTCAAACATTTCTCTAGCTGGTGCCCAGCAATTTTACTGTACTCTTACACTGGGGGTGTCTGTGGGTCCCAGGACTGGGAAATGTATTTTGTGATCATGTTAAAAACAAAAGGCTCGTCAGGACATTAAATCAGAGTTGCTAAAAGATGAGCAGAGATGCTAAAAGAAAACAACCTCAGCAACGTAGAGATGTTTGCAGGCAGAAGGCCACAAGCACAAAAGACATTTTTGGGTCTGCAAACCACCATGAAATGTAACGACTTAAACCAGCTGCAGGATGTAACAGTGCTGTACAAAGACTGATGGGGAGATTGAGGAAGTTTCTTTTTTAGAAAAAAACCCACAACTGCACATTTTGTAGCTTAAAGGGTGCTGGTAAAGGATGTAACACCTACTCTGAGACTGCCTTTGCTCCCCAGTCAAAGACATTCCCTGCCAGAAGTCCTTTCACCAGTGCAAACTGCCTCTCCTCCCAGCCCAGGGAATCCAGGGACTCGATCACACTCTGGAAACACTTTAAGGCTATTCCATTTTCTTTCTGCTTTACCTGTAAGACAGACAGGAAACACTGGATTTACAGACCAACATTCCTTACCTGGCTTCTCAGGGCTGTCAGGCAGCTGAAGCTGGTGATGTTTTTGGTTACCATTATCCTCTCGACGAGCCTGTGCAGGTGAAGGGGTTTATGTCCCATTCCCCAGTGCTGTTTCTCCTCCCACAGCTGCTCACAACCAGTGCAAGAACTTGGTTCTGATCCCTCCCCTCTGAGCCATCCATCACTTGTACAGTTTCAGAGTACTGGAAAAGTGCCTTGAACTCACCTTGGAATAAGGATCTGGAAAATTGAACTCGTTCAAACAGTGTTCCCTTGTATCCAAGAGACTTCTGACTGTTAAGGTACCATATGCACTTTAAAAAGGAAGAGGGAGAAAAAAAACAAATCAATTACTTCAAACAGAAAAAGCTATTTTTCCCTTTGTTTCCTCTGTAAGTCACAGCCCCTCACATGAGAACTAAAGTTGAAAGTTACAGGTGCTAAACCCTGCCTCTACAATAAGATTATTAAATCCACAACAAGATTATTTATTGTGGATTCAATAATCTTAAATTTACAGTAAGATTATTTAAATACAGGGAGGGAGAATGTTCAGAATTAACTCACTGCTATTTTTAATCACCCTGTACAAATTTTTAATAACAAATTTTCTGCCAAGATAGAATTTCTCTGCTCAACTCCAACACCTGAAATCCAAAATCTCTGTGCAGAGTATCTCATGTTTGGCACAGAAACTTGCCTGAGCCTTCAGCCTACTTGGCATTGTTTGCTCTGCTTCACAACCTGGTTAGCTTTTGGTGAGCTTTCACTGCTCAAAAGAAGCAGCAAGTGATGCAAAAGGGAAAATAAAAGCACTTACAAGGGCTGCTGCCTGAGTGTCTGCAGTTTATTCCAGTATTTCTGGCGGAATTTCTCAGCTCTCTCCTGTGCATCCACAGAGTCTGGCTGACTGGCTGCAGCTCGCTTTGCCACCTGCCAGAGAAATCAGGCAACAGTGGAGTTACCAAATTAACTCTTCCTCCCTGTAACTGATGGGAAGTTCAGTCTGAGCAATAACCCCTCCATCTGCCTCCCTGTTCTGTGCCTGCAGCCTGGCTGCTCCCTCCCACACAGCACCTCCCAGCCTCCCTCCATTCCAAACAGTAAACAACAATTTTAATGTCTCTTTTCATCCCAAAAGATTTAAAGTTTGTTTTCCAGACTGCACTGTCAGAAATTAAGTACAAGTTCTAACTACTTAGAAGAGGGGAAAAAAATAACAATGCACATACACTAAAGGAGAAACAGGCAGAAGTGTAATGGTACATGTCAACCCCTTGTGTTCTTTTTGTTTACTCCAGTGAACTGCCTGAATCAGCTTCAGTACAGAAAAAAATAACTTGTGTCTGGTTTAATTGTGTTCTTCCCATGGAAAAGTGGCTGTGAGGCAGCAGGACTGCTCCCAGAGGAGGAACAACCCAAGGATCTCTGGCCTTTGGTTGTGTAACTGTCCTGTTTGCAGCTCTGTACAGGGAGGTCCGAGTGCCAATAAAGGGAAAAAATGCTTTGAAAACACCTTTCAAAAGCTAAAAAAAAAGCACCAGAAAAGAACATTTCTACCTTTGAAGGGGCCAAGCCCTTCCTTAAGAGACTGGGACAATGTCAGGTGCCTCTGTTACAGGTAAAGAGGGGCTGCACTTCCAGAGGGATGACACAGAAGGAATATTTTACAGGACAAACATACTGCTTCACAGATTTGTTTCCTAAATACCTGTGTCACTCACACAGGACTGTGTTCTGTGACACTTACCCCATCCAGTGCCTCCTCAAAGCAGGTGAGCCAGTATTTTCTAGCCATGGCATCATCTGTGAGGTCAACAGTGTCTGGGATATAGGCGGAGGGGTCTTTCAGCAGTGGCAGGTTAACAAGTGGTCTTTCCAATCTGTCCATTTCCAGCATGTCAAACTAGGGGAGAAAGGAAAGAGATGGGTTAGAACTCACTCAGAAATTAATTCACAATGAATTAAATTAGCACAAGGGCTGCACAAGTCCAGCCACAGTTAAGACTGACAGATTTGCAGACAATTATAGGTCATCATAAATAATCCAGTCCCCTCTGTGGATTATTCTATCCATGCCCACCCTATAGACAGAAATTGTCCAGTGTGAAAATAATCCACTGTGAAATCAGAATTGCTGTACTGTCAGTGACTTTAAGAGATGACTGGGCTTGTGCTCTTCTGTCCAATCTTGTATTTGTCTTCTCATAGGAAGCAAATTAACACTGCTTAATGATGGTGGAACATGAAACTCCAAATTCTGAGGTATTTCAGCTGCAGCAAAACCCAGCTGCTCCAGAGAAAGGGTAAGAGCCAAACATTCCCCCCACTCTGGTGACGGAGAGTAAAACAAAGTAGCAGCCAGTCTGTTTCATGAAACATTCCATCCAACACCACACAGGACACGAGACAACACCACACCAGACTGGTCCCTTCTCTGGAGAGCAGGAGCCTCAAGGGCAAGGAACAACCAGAGAATAATCACCTATGTCCAGGTCAGCACTGCTAAGAGAACACACACAGGTCTAGAAAAGACAGCACATACTGTACCACTCCGTGTTCTCTGCATGGGGTAAACATCAGGGGATGTGCTCATAAGCCCAGAACTCCCAGCATAGTTCTCTCCCCAGCTGTACTGGTTTGGATCTAGAACAGAGAAAGACACAGACACACATAATCTGAAAATAAAACTGAGAACACTCCTGTGAGTCTAGAGCCAGCATCCCTCTGAGCAGCTGCTGCACTACACAAGCCAGCTCCCCTTGTCTTTAAAAGCAAACAGAATTTTTCCCTTTAACTCCCAAAAGAGATGTGTCAACCACTCAGTGAATTACCTGCTCCAAAGAGCTTCAACCTGAATGAGACAAGAGACAATTTAAATTCTAAAATCATACTTTTTAACCCCATTTCCTTGTCATTAATCAGCATGCCTCCAAAGCACTATCACTGAGCATTTCTTATTTCTAAATCTAGATCCATTATTAACAAAATAGTATTACAGAACTCTCAAAGCACAATGTAAGCTTCAGAGAAACACTGGAGTTATTTCTTGATTTGCTTTATTTGAGAAAAGTTTAATGAGCTCAGATGTACAGTACATGCTGCAGAAGCAATCTCTTTAATTCCTCAGTAGTTGGTTCCTTGCCCATCTCTATCAAATGGGCAGGAAAAGAATTCCACATCCATTTTCTGGAGGTGTATTTGATACTTACTGAGCTAAATACCATTAGCAGCCTGTGGCTGTGCCACTGTAACCAATGTACTGCCTGGCTTGCCAGTACATCAATGGGGAAAAGGAAAACTAAATAGGCAGAATTCCACCAAAGCACCCTGGATCCAAGGGATCTGGACAGAAGGGTCTGCTCTGTGAGGCTTTTCACTCTCAAACAAACACAGTTTGGAGATGCTGGTCTTCCTCAGTACATTAAAGGAATTCAGAAGTGGCCTCTTAAAGAGGGGGATGTTCTCCAAGCTCACATTTCCCCAGCTGGATTTAGAGCTGTGACTGCTCTTTGCAGAAGTACAGAGAAGAGAAGAGCCCAATCCTGCTGCCTTCTCAAAGGTGAGCAGGAAATCCAGTGAGAAATTAAGATGTCCCTGCCAGAATGTATAAAACCAAAGCCCAGCATCTGTGTTTATTAGTGCCAAATGGATTTATTTAGGCAACAGCTTACATGCAGCCTCTTAAGAGAAACTTGGACAGTACACTGACATTTCAGAACACAGCATATACAGAACAGAGCAGTGCTGTACTTACTGTCTTGTTCAGCTCCTTTTAAAAATGCCCCAATGGCTCCCAGGTAGCCTTCATGTCTCAGGAACAATGCCTGAACCTCTCCCTGCCACAATATGAAACATTGCAATTGGATGGTCCCTGAGGGCTAACAGGCACTTCTTTGTCACTAGTTTCACACTTTAATTTAATAGAAACAACTAGAAGATGGTAATAGTCATTTGTGCTACATTCTCACACATTCAGCAACTTTAATGGTGCTTCTGGAACAGCTCGGGGAGGAACTGCTCACACACATCATTCCCCAGTTACCACACAGCTGGAAACACCCATGCACCAGTGGTGTGTGCTCTATGGCCTTCCCTGGAAAACACCACTGCATCATTCCATGAATATTCAACTCCTCTTGCTTCAACAGGCTGGAAATGCAAGGTCATGTGATTGCCAAGGTAAGTGTGTGCCACTGCAGCCAACACCTTTGGGACACTGCTCATTGTCTTTATTTCATTGCACTGCTCTTCAACACCACGCAGACACTGTGCATTACTCACAGGCAAGCATTCCCCCCTCCAAAGAATTCAATTATTAATGCAAAATACAGGAATGCTGGGGAGGAGAGCCCTCCACCCTCACAGCAGAGCCCCTCAGATTTCCCAGGCTGGGTGAGACATGGCCTTTTCCAAGGAGTTCAGCAGTGGGAACAGCTCACCCTGAGGGGGGCTACAGGGAAACAGCAGCTCCAGCTCACAGGGAGATTTGGATTTGAATCCCTGGCAAAGTGTCTCTAACAATAACCTAAAGCTGCAGTTTTGCAATAGCTTTCTTGGAACTCAGCAGAAAGGGACAACAATGGTGAAATAAAGAGGGGGAAAAATCAGCACACAGGAGTCTCTTGCATGAAGCACTGAGATGAGAAAAAAAATGGTGTCATCTACTCTATAAAATTCCCAAAGTGCAGGACTAATCTACCTGTTACAACCATTAAGGAGCTTGTGGATTGGACCTTTTTCCTAGTCAAAAATCTTCAGTATTTTCCACAGCTTCAAAACCTGCAAAGAACTTCAGCTTAGTTGATTTGGGGTTTGATTTTTTTCTCTTTAATAACAAAACCCCACTGATGCCAACTGTCTCAGCAGAACAACCCCACACTGCATGACCTGGGGGTGGAAAGATGCAAATCAGCAAGAGGAATTGAATAATGATGGTGACTATCTAAGAACACAGTGGAAACTCATTACTTGGAGCTACAAGACAGACTGTCAATCAAAAAATAATAATCAAAAGACAGAGAGGGAGTTAGGGAGAGAGAAAAAGGGCCAGACACAACTCCCAGGCATTTCACATTGATTTCACCCTCCCACAACACATCCCTAAGGAGCAGCCTTCTAAGCTTACTTCATGTGCAAATTCATTTATTAGAGTATCCCAGCAGTCTAGAAAAATACCTAAAATGTGACTTTGCTGTAGGGAACGCTGTGTTTTCCTTACCTTGGAGAAGAAGTTGATGCTGTAGGTTATTGTGCGCATGGTGACAGGGTGGCCCCGGATAAAAAACCCTCCAAAATAGATTTTATCCAGGTTGTGCAGTTTGGCATAGAGGCAGGCCAGCTGGCCAATGTCATTGCTGATCATGTGGAGCAAACTTTTGGCCATATCTTCTTTGGAAAACTCTGGAAGGGAAGGAAGAGTAAAGCAAATTACACACAAACTGAGGAAGCTCCAGTGGACTGTGCTTTGCTAACTGAACCTGCAGCTGGGGAAAGAAAAATCCAGGGCTGTAGGTTTTCCTTATATGTGAAGAAGAAAAGTGTTACCCCCTAGAAAAACCTCACATATAAAATGTACTTCTAACAAGGAGGGGTGTGATTTGATTGAAGATATCAGGAAAAAAAGCCCTCACTAAACCTATGTGAAACATTTCTTGAAAAAAAAAAATTCCTGGATGGCAGGAATCCATTTGTTCTCTCTAGGAACCACGGGTGAGGGTTCATCCATCCCTCTTGGCCTGAGATGCACTGCAAGTACTTCATTAAGATACTGCAAATAAACTGCAAATTGTAGTAAATCACTGCCAAAGGGCCCTTCTGGAGCCCAGAATGCCATCTCTATTTCCCACAGGAATGAATTAACCCTGGGCTAACCAGACAGCTATTTTTAAATTTTCCCTTGGCTTAGGCAATCTCAAACTGAAAAATTAAATGTCTGCTTATAAAGCAGTACTGCATAATATTTTTAATCAATATTGTGCAGGCAAAACACAAGATCATGAAAGAAGCTGGTGATTATTTTCAGCTCTACCCTTTAGATCAGTATAAAGTTGAATCCCAAGAGTCAGAGGAGACATTTAGGTAGATTTTTTTTTCCCAGTACCTTTGTCTGCTGTGGTGGACTTCCCAAAGCTGCTGGCAATGAGATTCCCACTGAGCCCCAGGGTCTGGTAGGCACCTCCATACACGTCCTTCACCAGCATGTCCACGTTGGTGTGCTGGCCCTTCGAGGCCAGCTGCAGCAATTCATCAAATTTCTGAGGGTGAGAAGCACAGTTACTACAGCTGACCTGAGCAAAACCAGTCTTAGAATTGACCCTGCCAGCCAAAGACAGGTTATTTCTAATTACAAGGATGGATCCAGACTCCCTGTCTGGTCAAACACACAGATCCTAAGTGGAGCTCCTTTAAAGATGAACATCACAATCAACTTCCTTCTTATCTGCAGATATTTTGTTGAATTTCCCCTGAAAACTAGGGTGGGTCAGCACATATAAAACAGTCAAAAGCCTCATGGCATCCCTCATCTTAGAAATACAGGAACTAAGAGGAAACAGAATTTTGTCTTCCTGAAGCACAATAAAAGAGAAGTTTGAGAAAAAAATCTCAGTGTGCCTTTACTGTTGAAGGATGTGTCACTGTCCCTGAAATTAAATTTACAGGCAAGCTGAATTATCCCAATACTTAATTTATAACCCTGCTAACTTGAATTTCTTCTACAAAACCAAGAGAGAATTAAGAGCAGGCACTGTCATGTTCTAAGATTTCTTCTTTAGGAGCATCAAACAAAAAGCACAGCCCAGGCTGTGCCCTCCCTTTGACATTTTCTTATCTGGTGCATATGTCACTGTAGCTTTTCCTACACTGCTGACATTTAGGACACTCATTTAAGCCACATGGCTCTTTGGGAAGCCCAGCATGATGTCAGAGCTGGGCTGGGCTGAGCAGGACTAAGTCAGCCTTTGTCCATCAGCCCAGGAGTTAAACTCACTTTGGCAGCCAAGGAACCAACCATGAGGCAAAATTTCTCCTCTCAGCTCCCAGACATTTTGCTGCAGTTTTGTGCTCCCTGCTTTCCTCTGCAGACAGCATTGCAGGAACTGGGCTGGCATTTTAAGTTGAAAAGAGAATAAAAAATTACCAGGCCACTTTGAGGATGTTCTTGTCCATCACTTGTCCTTGAGCTCCAAGCAGGATTGCTTTTGGTCACAACAAGAATCTTCTAATTCTTGTCCCTATATTCCACCAGTATTTTTTTCCATGTAAAGCTTCCTTTTATGCATCAGAAGTGTCAAAAATATGAACACAAGTCCAGGACTCAGCCTTGTTACCTAACATTCCAACATTCCAGGCTTCCTCCCAGCATTTAATTTAATCCCACCCCAAGACACTTGGATACCTTTGTTTTGGTGAGCAGAGCTCCAAGACCCCAGAAGGTTCCACCTCCAATTGAACTTCCCCCAATCCACTCAAATTTGTCTTCTGTTTCTACCTGTGAATCAAACAAGGCAGATTTATTTAGAAAGTCCTGTTATAATGTTTAACACAGATTTAAATGTCAGAGTGTGCAGGGTTTTGGAACAGTGGAATCAGTGGAGATGGAATCCTTCCATTGTGGAAGTGGCAGGTGAGAAGGGCACGTTGCACATACACCACAAGCACTTTTGGAAATCTTTGTATTTAATTGTTGGCAAACAATGCTAAATATAAGCATTAAACTTGGTCTCTTCAACAGTGTGACCAAACAAACATCAAAAATCACTTCGATCTGACAGCCTTTGTCCTCATCAGGTAATGTAACCACTTCTCTAAACATCATATTAAATGAAATTTAAAAAAAAAAAATTAGCAAATGGAAAAGCATTCATAACTCTGCAATTAATAGAAATAAACTTCTAAAAAGGCACAATTTTCTTTTTAAACCTTGCATCACCCAAGAAGAAACAAGTACAAATCTGAACCAGTGAGAGGTTTCAGATGTCCTTTATTTTGGCCACCACTCACCTTCACTATGGAGACCCCTGAGCCAATGTTCACCAGCAAATAAGGGAAAATGTTGGGGTGGTTTGTCTGGAACCGGAATTCTGTGTCTGAATCCTTCTGGTAAGCAAACACCTCGTGGGGGATGTTCCTCAGCACAAAGTTGCACCCCTTAATTAGGCAGGTCATTACATCTTCCTTATCAACCCTGAGGGGGAGGAAAAAGCCTTAAATAAATGTCCCAACTCTCCTGATAAGGCAGTTTGCTTTGGGAGCAGTTTGCACAGACTTTGCAGACTGGAATTTTCACACCACGTGGCACAAGCCCAGCTCCCTGGAAACATGAAACCTTCATCTGCACATGGTCTGGTGCTCCCCTCCCGTGCCAGAACTCCAGGCTGGGGTTCTGTTACACAGTAACTTTAATCATGTTGTCATTACAAATAATCCTGTTTGCTTGTTTACACAGCTCTTTCCTGCCCTGCTCCTGTCATGGTCTGTGCACCCCTGCCATAAAGTAGGTCAGAAAGCTTAGCTGGAAATTAACCTCCAAAAACAATTTCCCAACATGGAATAAATAATTGTCTGTTGTTCTTCCCCTGCCTCCTAATAAAGCACAAAAGGCCCCCCTCAACATTTCAGCACTTGTTTATGACAGATTCAAGGGACTGGGAGGAGCAACACAGATAAACAACTGGGATTAGCAAACACAGAAAAAGAGACTTCTCACAAGAGCAGCAGGATTCACAACAGGACATATCCAGTGTGAAGTCTGGGAATGTGATATAAAACTTAGAGATGATTGATAAGTCAGCAAACACACACTGACTCCTGTGAACTTCTGTGCCTCTGTATTGTTATTGATTTATGGAAATTCTTACAGGAAATATCCTGAGGCTTGTTGGAAACACATAAACAAGGCACAAACTCATCTCAACTACTACAGAATGATTTGTGTGTTCCACGATGGAGAAGCTGCTCTGGTTTGGACCTGGGGACCAACTGAGTATGTCAGAACCAAATAAAAACCAAAATCAGGTGCAGCACATGAGATAAGAGGGAACTGCCTCCTTATCTTGATCAATTGATCACTGGTAACAGCCAATAAGGTACTAAAGGGGGCTAGTGTGAAATAAACAGATAACAGAGTCCCTCTTATCAGGAGAAATAAGTAATTTGCAAAGACAGTGTAAAAGATGAGCATAGGCCCTCAGGGGTTGAGGAGTGTTCTACACAGATCACAGCAGGAAAGGTGCCTTGAAGGTCTCCCCAGTGATGTTTAGTATTGGGGTAAATTAATGTTCTTCTACACTTACAGCATAGAAGGTGAATTTATAGGCATGAATTTATAGGCATCACCATCTGTGGCTTTGATGGCTTTTGTCTCTGTATTGATAAGATGACCTTTGATGAAATCTAGGCAGGTTTCAGTGTAAGCTTTTTATTATTTGGTGTTTGATAACAATGTTTGAACAGTAAATTTATGAAGCTGTAAATTCACGGGCAGCCCTTTGTTCTCCTGCAAGCCTTTGCATGAAGTTTAGGTAGGAGCTGTACAATAAATGACTGTCACATGAATTACTTCTGAGCATGCCCAGGAAAATGATAAAGGCTTTTGGAGTAGGTGTAAGTTAATTCTTTACAGAATAAAAGCAATTCCACTTACTTCAACCCTAGTTTCTTCTCAATAAGGTCTTTGAATTTATAGGCACCACCACCAGTGGCTTTGATGACTTTTGTCTCTGTATTGACAAGATGGTCTTTGATGAAATCTAGGCAGGTTTCAATGTAAGTGTTTTCAAATTTAATGAAGTGAAGTCGAGCTGTAATCTCCTCCTGAACAGATATTTCATACAAAGGTTCATTGTCTATGTCCTTTAAGAGAGAAAAGGATTTCTTAGAGAACATTCTTGCAAAAACAAGGTCAAATGCTGAACTACTGAACATCAATAGTTGTGCTTTCTTTGCCCTTGAAACTGTGTTAATGCCATTAAATATAACACCTCAAGCTATGTCAAAGAAGAATAGAGTTTCACAGGTCTTAATTCTCCTTAAGCTGAGATAATCAATTCTTCCACGCAGCTGACATGCAGGAAATCCCTCTGCATGAGGAAAGTTATATCTGCACAGGAGCAGGATTGTTTTACAAAAGTACCACACTGACTGTCTGGAAAAGAAATATTTCAAACAGTACCTGGCAATACAAACGCTTCCCAAAAAGTTTTATATAGAACAAGTTATTAGATGGGTTTGGATACAATTTCTATTCTACCCAGTCCAGAACATGTCAGTCAGTCACATGCAGCTGATCCCTGGTGGAATTCTCACCTTTCCAGAATGATCAAAGGATCTCACTCTTGCCACTTTGTGCTGTACAGTTGAGTAATAAGCCAACTTGGTTAATGAACCGCCTGTTCATAAAGAGATGACAAGTTATGATTAATGCCTCACCCGGGAGCAAACAATAGAACTTATGTTGATGTCAGCTCTTGGTTCTCCAGGTCCCCTCAGAGAGAATTAATGGAAATGCAGAAAGAACCTTTCTTGAGGAACTGCTTGGTCTGGTTAACCCCCAGAGAATCATGGGAGGGAAAAGCTCCATAAATTCAGTTTGTGCACAACTGATGTGGCATGAGGACAAGCAGTGGAAATTCTTCTTTAGCCAGGCCAGTACCTGTACTGCTGTTATGTACCTTGTTTGGAAAATTCATTAAACCTCCCCCAAATGTGTACCAGGATTTTCTCAGCTGGTTTGCCACCACTGAGCAACGCCCCTCATGTGCACAGAGTGTTTCAGCAGCAACACCTAAATAATATTCTTACCCTGCTTTTAGGGACAAGTCTGCAAACTCATGGCTGGTTAGAAAATGACCCTCTGCACTGAGCAATTATTTTGCAAGATTGGTCTTGGCTTTGGGGTAAAGAATGCTCAGAGCAATGTTTCTCAAGCACACAGCAGTTGGAGATATTAGCAATGTGCAAGCCTGAGCAGAGCAGCCACATCATCCCCTTCAGGCCTCCAGTCTGCTCATGGTAATAAAACTTTCAACTCTCCCCTTGAGAAACAATTCAACCCTTTGCCCTGTCTTGCATCTGACCTGCAAAAGTGGATTTCTGGGGTTACACTGAATAACTTCAATGCTTTCCACCACAGTGCTCCAGGTCTGAGGGTAACTGTGATCCACTACTGGGTTAACATTAAATTCCTGAAAGCAAATAAAAACCTGGCAATGTTAGATCCTAAATAATGGCTAAATGCAGTGGCATTTCACTCTGCTGCCTAATAATAACCAAGAAATGAAGCAGCAGAGGTGAAAGATAATCTCTAGAGCATGTAGCTTTGCCTTCATAACAGCACTGTCAGCTCTTCCACAGTGCTCAAATATTTTCATTAGGAAAATATTTGCAACCTGTAGGAGAAAAACAGGCAGTTTACTCCAGGAGAATTTAAGTGAGGTGAACATAGAGTGACCATGGACAGACATAGTAACAAAAGCAATAAAGCTTCCCTGACCTTGGATCTGATTTCAGTGTCCCAGTCAGTGCTTTAAAGTTTCTGGTAAACAAAACTCACTCTGTTCTGCTAAAAGGTGAATGCTTGGTGCTTAAAGGTGAGGGATTGCACAGATTTTATGGAAAAGCTTCCCTCCACACCTCCAAACTGAGGATCACACAGCCAGTGTTGGAATGTCATATGCTTTACACCAACAATGACACAGGTACTGCAGGAATTCATCACCAGATCCACGGTATGCAGAGCCATGCTTTGTGCATTATCCCCTTCCTCTCGCAGTTTTTAAAGACTTAAATCCACTCAGAACACCAGCTGAGACATGTAACTGGGTTTTATAACTAATCCCACGACTCTAATTCCGTGCTGACCCGCACAAAGGGCCAGTTCCGGCTGTCACTGTAACCAGCTGCTCCTGAAGGGCTGAAGTAACTGGTGACACGACAAGATTTTCTATTATGGTGCAGGTTTTCTTCCCACTGTCTCCCTGAGTCTCCACGACACAGAGCAGGGTTCACCTGAGGAGCAATAGCTTGGTTTTCTTTTCTCTGGTGCCTCTCCTAAAAAGTTCCACTGATCTCGAGACCGTAAAACGGAAGAAAAAGGCGTGAAATGGCATTTTTGGCTTAGTGGGTGTTCACAGAACGACTGCTGATCCCTGCACGGGAGGAACTGGGAACAGGCTCAGCCTGTCCCTGCACAATTCCCGGCTGTGGCGCGCAGGTGTCACCCTGACGTGTGTCACCCTGTCCCTCGGCTCAGGATGTGGGAAATCGGGAATGTCGGGTGCTGGGGTGTATGCACAGGGCAGCGGCTGTTTTTGGGGGTGACTAAGGCAGCAGTGACAGACCTCAACCCACGCCAAGCCCCGCAGCCGCCTTGCCCTGCCCGGGCAGTGCCACAGCGGCCGTCCCGGCCCTTTTTGCTTCTTCCCGGCCGCTTTCGGGAGCCGGAGGAGCGCACGCAGCATGCCGCGGGCCGCGGCCTGGGGAGGGGGGCGGCTGAGGGGCTCCGTACTCGGGCCTGGCGCACTGGGGCAGGGTCCCGGGCGCTCTGAAGGGGTGCAGCCGATCTTCCTCAGTCCGCCTGCCCCCGGCCGGTCCGGCCGAGCCCTCCGGGCTCTCCCCCGTCCCCCCTTGGCCGCCAAGGGCAGCCCCAGCCGGGCCGCCCCGCCCGGACCCCCGCAGCCCGTTACCCGCGCACGGCCCGCCGGGACCTGTAGTGCCGCTCCTCGCCCGCGCCGCGCCGGCACTCGGCGGAGGGACTACAACTCCCGTAGTGCCCCGCGTCGCCCCCCGCACCGCGCAGCCCCCCGGGAACTGTAGTGACCTCGCGCCCACCCGCGCTGGCCCGCGCATCGCGGGGGACTACACTTCCCAGCGCGCCCCGCGCGCGCCCGGCCCGGCCCCCCGCGAGTCCCCTCAACGGGGCCGAAGCCTCCGCCCGTTCCCCACCGCCGCCCCCTCCCCGCAGGCCCCCCCTGCCCGGTTACCGATGTCTATGGCGAAGCGCTTGGCGTTCTCTAGGTTGCGGAAGATCTCGTCAGGCGGAAGGGTGATGCTCTTGTCCAGGCTGCCGTGACCGCTGCCGCGCCCGCCCCGCTCCGCCATTTTGAACGCGACCCGCTCCCTCCCTCACCCCGGCCTCATCGACATGCAAATGTATGCGCATAAAATCTGCATGGGAACGAGGCGGAGGCGCGGGGATTGGGCGGGGAGAGCGCGCGGGCTCCGCCCACCTCCGGGGGCGGGGCCTGAGGGACTCCGGGGTGGGGGGGCGGAGAGACCCCGAGAGGAGCGGGGGGGGAACAGGGGGGACACCCCGGGAAGGGGAATGGGGAGAGAAACCCCCGGGAAAGGGAATGGGGAGATGGAATGGGGAGAGAAACCCCCGGGGAAAGGGAATGGGGAGATGGAATGGGGAGAGAAACCCCCGGGGAAAGGGAA